AAATTAAAACATATATCAGAAATAAATAAAGTTAGGTTTGGTAGGTTCACGGTAGTCAGAGGATCCTAAGAAAAATAAAATCTAAATTTAAAGTGTCTGAAATATAATTTCTTATTTAAGTCAATAAAAATTCTAAAAAATTAAGAAAATACCAAATATTTCAATAAATCACCAAAATTATCCACATTGAAGATAATAACATTCTAAGGTCCCTGTAAAAATTTATAAGTCATAAAAATTGTTTTTGATACTAAAGTGTATTTTGCTAAGTAAATAAGAATTTTGCACTAAAAAACTTATATTAAAAGAAAATCCAAAAATTATGAAAATTGGGTTGGAGTGTTATTTGTCACCAAGGGAACCGATAAAAAATAAATTTGATGTTAAAATAAAAAAGTTTATTTTTTGGTTCCTTTTCATGTTAAAAATAATTAAAAATCACAAAAATACAAAAATGCTCCAAAATGTCACAAATTATTCCCTGATCACTTGGGACCACCTAAAATATTTTTTCTAATTTTCTTAACATAGTTATGTATTTTTAAATGCTTAAAAAATTTCTTAACATAGTTATGTATTTTTAAATGCTTAAAATATATTTTTCTTAATTTTGCACTAAAATAATTATAATAAATAAAATAAAAATCACAAAAAAATTAAAATTTATTTTCCTGAATTCTCTGAACTTAGAGGAACTAAAGAAAAATATAAAAAGTAATTTTTTAGATTAAGCTTTATTTTCTATTTAATTAACCATCAAAGTCAACAAATAATTATAATAATTAGAATAAATATAAAAAAAAAATTATGAGAATTATTCCTAGAGACCATTTAATCTAGGTGAACCTCTAATAATTTCTCTAATGATAGAGGATTTGTTTTGGTCAACTAAATTAATTAACATTGAAAATCCCTATTTTTGAGCAAAATAATTATTAAAAATTAAATAAAAATCAGAAAAAATATTTTCTCCTCTGATATTTTAATTGACCTATGAGTGGGGTGTCAATAAAACTTCAAAGTCATTTGATTTAAATGTAATAAATTATGAAGTGGAGAGCTTTAAGAGCAAAATGGTAATTATGGAATTTGAAGCTCTAACTAAAATTTAGGCTAAATCAAAGAGTAAATGGGTAATATTGATCATGATGTACTTTCTTAGATGTTTGAAACATAAGGATTTAAGAGTTAGAAACAAACTCATCACTTTTCCTACAACAAGGGTAAAATGGTAACTTTCTTAAATTATTGTGACTTGGAAGTTGATCTAATTGAATGATCCCAAGGTAGTGGGCTTGAGCTAAAAAGATGATAATTTACTCATTTGAAGCCCTAATCGATGATTAAATGGTAAGCAGGATACTTCAATAACAATTAGATTCATTTAATCCAACATTTTTATTTATTATAAATTTGTCCATGAAAGAAAACTTAAGGGCTTAGTAGTGAACTAGGCATGATCTGAATTTTCTTAATGAGGTTTAGAAAAGTAAACATAAACAATCATGAATTCTTTTAAAACATTACAAGCTCGGCTTTAACCATGAGCACAATATCCTTAATAATTCAACCTGCACTTGAGGGCATCCACTCACATAATTTTTAAGTAGAACATCAAATAAATACCTAAATACCCCAATCATGGGATAATTAAATCATAAAATTTCATTGAGCACAATTTAAAACATCACCATTGAATCTTAATTTAGCTTCTAGTGGTTAATTTAATAAGTTCAAATGAAGTCGAAATGATTCAGAAGACTTTAAAAATTGTTTAGGGTTATGTCCTAAAAACTTTTATAATCTTTTGGATATTTTGAATGACAAATGAACTTATTATGTTTTGTTCAAAAAAATTATCCTTAAAACTTTTAGAGACCTACCAAGTTATGTCTCGGGACCCAATAATTCACCTAGTCAATAAAAATGCCCTACACTACTTATCCAATATTTATGACTCAATGCTCAAGAATTTGAGTCTTTCCTAAGGTATTTAAATCCTTGTGAGCAAATGTGGATATTTCTTTTGCCATGTATGGATCATCGAACTTTTGTAAATCTTAGGTCTAAGTGGCTAAAGCGATGACCATAATGCTAATGTGTGCTTAAAGAGGGATACAAAGTGGGATTTAGAATAATATCTCCTACCTCAAGGAACTTCAATGAGGGGAGAGGATAAGACCGACGATATTTTTTGCCGACTCTTGATAAAACTATTGCCGCTGACACTCTTAGTTTGCCAATAGTCCTAGCTTGATTAGAGTAATTAACCTGTGGATCACACTACTTTGCAAAAATATTTCAAACAACAATCATTTTCACAACATAATTACTTTTGTCTGCTAAAGTAAATTCTACATGCTTGAAAATTTAATTAAATTAAAAATAAAAACTTATAAAGGTGGTTAATCACTTGGATCGAGGTAGGTTAATGACTGCCCTCTATAGCTTATCGGGTTGGTAGGTCTTACTCAAGGTTGGGAAGCACACAGTCTAGCTCCGAGCCCCCAACTTTACCAATGTCTTACTTCTAATCTCGCTTATTTGTCACTATGGGGTTTCTTTTACTGGTGTTTTCTTTCAACTTACTTTTTTAACTTTCATATTGAATGTTCTTATTTTATTTTCCCATAAGTTGTTTAAATTTCCTGTAAATTATATTATGTTTTTTGATACTAAACATGCAGTGGCGACATAAGTCCAAGTAATATTTTCATTTTATGTACTATAGTTCTTTTATTTACCTTATAGCATTTTCCTTACTTATGCATACATGCAAAAAAATGAAAATAACAAAAACTCACTTTCAAAATTAAATCTACAATTTTAAAACAATGTACGAACATAATACATTCCTTTTGGGTTTACGTGGATTTCTTGGATGAGGTAACCTATGGTTGCTAACGGGATTCTCTGTTTCAATGAGCTTGATAACTTGTTTAAACAAAGTAAACACAAGAGAAAATAGTGGTGTCGGGATGATGAAACCGTGGAATCTAAACCGGAGAGAAAATAGTGGTGTCGGGATGATGGAACCGTGGAATCTAAACCGATGTTGTTTAACATAAAATAAAATTTTTCTCAAAACACTTGAACAACAACACCAAATCTAACACAAACTATAAAACCAAAAAACCTTGCACCTGGAGCTATCACTTCAACAAGGAGCTTGGAGTTAGCTCTGTGGGCAGCATGTCAAGGACATACAAGAGAACATCTTCGGGGGAACAAACAATGTCGTCATCAACAAAACTTTTTTTTAGTTTAATAACAACAATCCATAAGACTTCGAGGTTGTCTGCCTATGACGACGTAAATCCTCACATTATATTTAGGTATTTGCACAATCATATTGTGCAATTTAAGCCCTAACTCGCTTTAGGCTTTGAGGTTGTCGTTCGTTAAGACATAAATTCTCCAATCTTCCAGGCTACTTGTATGATCAGGATCATACAGAATGTAAGCCCTAAACAATAAAATGACACAACGAAACATCAAATAATATTATCTTCAAAATTGAAGCCCAACAATAGGATAATTTGAGAAGCCATCGATGTTCTTCTCGAAATATATGATTTCTCATATTCTCATTTCCTTTGAATTCCGAGAATAACTGCTCCTGCTTGATCTACTCCCGTTTAATTTTCCTATGTCCAACATTGAACACAAAACCTTGCAATCTTCAAGACAAATACCTCTGGTCATTATAAAGAGTTTTCCTAAGTGACTTTGGTCACTTAAGGTGTAATTAACTATAGGGACTTGACTCTAAAAGTAACTTAAGAATCCAAATATTATAAACCCTTTCTAATCCTTATATTAGATAGGAGAACTTCTCGGCTAACATATAAAAAAGTTCGCAGACAAAATGTATGTCATAAATTCTTTAATTTAGATAATCGACCCGCTCTAACAAGAAATGTGTCTATTCCTTAGGGTATGTACATTGTTTGTGGCATAAAAAATGACTGAAAAAAAGTGCTAGATATGTAAATAGCAAGGTCCTGATTGCTATCTAATGTAATTACCCCTAAATAAATTGAGAAAAAGACAGAATGTAATATATATATATATATAATTAAATCACCCTTAAAATGTCGATCGAAGAGGTTTAATGGCCGACATGTCACTGCTGCTCTTATCTCATTGATTGCTGACGACATCTCCTCTCTTCAAAATGACGCGAGTCTCTGACTAGAATTGTTTGACCAGCGATCAAAGAATTATTGGAACACTTCCGTCGAGGTCAAGGACGGAGCAGATTCCGTGGACAAAGATAAAGAGAAGAGGAATTCAATATCCTTAGCTACTCGATGAGCTTTAAGTGACAACTAAGAGGCGATTTCCTATCTTCATACTCTTATTCTTTCCCTTTGCATCCTTCAAAAAGAGCTTTATCGGAGCCATATCTCAATATGTGTAGGGCTATACTCAAACAATCATTTACAATTTATCAACCATAACTTTATAAAACACTTTTCTCCATCGTATCATTAAAATGAGCTTTTTCAGATGATAACGCCACCTCAAACAAAGCTGAGGGAATCGTGAAGATGAGGGAATCGTGAAGATGAGGGAATGAGGAAAATGACACATGTGATATTGTATGATAAAACGATTTACCTCAGGATAGTTTTGTAATAGCAGAACAATGAAATAATAGAACACAATAATCGCCATGGCTTTGTCTTGGGAAGTTCCCAAAAACAGCATTGGGCCTTACTACTGAAATACTGAGCTAGGGCCCAAACGCAAATTGATGTGCGATTCCAAAACGAGCCCAACATTCCACTTACATATGTGGATCTTAGAACACTATGAAGAGTTTTTTTCAATTCCGCTGGGACCCACATCCTGGGCTGATTTAAGCCACGTCAGCTGGTCGCATCGTCGTGTCCAAAATGAGTGTTTCCTAAAAGGGAATCATCGCAGAGGTGGGTCCAATCGCTCACGGCCTGCGGAATTGGATTCTCGCTCCTTTAAATGAGTCGGTCCGAAACCTAACCATTTGAGCTTAGAATAATTCTACGATAAAAATGGAATAATCTTTTCTGAAATCTATAATATCGAAGTCCAGCGGCGCGTTAATAGCCGCCCGAGAGGAGCTTAGGAGGAGAGGAGGTTAGGAGGAGAGGAAGAGAGGAGGAGAGATGGAGGAGGCGATTAAGTGGTCGAGAGAAGTCGACGATAACAACAGCAACGATGTGGCGACGAATGGCGTCTCTGCTATCATCCCTGGCTGGTTCTCCGAGATGAGCCCCATGTGGCCTGGTTTGTTTGTTCTGTTCTCTTTATTTTTTACTGAAAGCGGAATACAGTAGTCTTGTTATTCCTGTGTTGTCTGCCGCTTTTGGGAGATTTTTGTGGGAGAATGCTTCAGATGAGTTTTATTTGATTAGTAGTTTAAATTTTGATTGCTTGTTTGATAGTTGAATTTGATGAAGCTAATCCATTACTTTAATTTGGTGTGTTCATGGTTTTATCATCTTGTAAATTGAAAACGTCTAATTTTTAGTCATTGCTACTAGTTGGTGGTTGAATATACACAATGCATGTGAGTTTTGGAAGGATCTATAACCTCATTGCTTGTTATTATTATTTTGAGCTCTTCTTTTTCTTAATTAGACATTATTGGAAAATCTGTACAAACAGTGGTGGTATCATGATTTAAAGGGAAAGAACGAAAGGGCTTATCCCAAACTAAAGAGGTTAAAGATAATGTTTGTGGTGAAGATACATATTTACAATGTTCTACCTCTCCTTTCAAAGGAAGTTTACACCCAGTCATTGTTTCTTGTGTGTAGTTCGTGTAGGTAGAAACCTCTTTACCCTTAATTTGCCAGCTGCCTCTAAAAAATCATGCCGGCAGATTAATCATGTGAAAGCTTTCTTGAGTTTTATATCATGCCTGCAATATCTTTCTATTTATGCTTATTTCACAATTGAAATGGGTGAAGTTAATCACTTTTCTTTGCTGATTTGGTTTATTGATTTTAGCCTCTTGTAAATGTCTAACTTTTCAATAAAAAGAATACCTATGGCATTTGGCTCCATCACTTGGCGGAGAAGCATGGTTGGAAGGGCTTTGCCTCAACGGTCTACTTGGGAGTCCAATTGAACGGTGCTTGCATCTGATTCCAGTTCACCTGCCATTAATTTCAAACCACCAGGTAGCTTTCGTTTAAGATAATCAACATAAAGAGACAAACGAAATTAGAAAATAGAGAACTTTATGGTTTGCATTGAAGTTTTGAGGGATGTTGAAGATCCCATGGTTAGATGGCATTTGGAGGATGAAAGTGAAGTTCCATCATCATAATTACAAGAGGAACATCTCAATGTTGTATTTATATTGAGGATCGAGCAAGAAAAAAAAAATGACTAAAACATAATAGAAAAGATTAATATGCAATTTCATGTAATAGAAATTATAAAAGGTTAGTTTTTATTATTTAAAATAATGTTCTTGTTGGATTGTATTTATCAGGGAAGATACAGATAATTGAGATTGAAGATAATGAAGATGATTTATAGGATGTTGAAACAAGTGAAAATGAGGGAGATGAAAATGCAATCAACTACAATGTTAATTCTATTAATGATCAAAAAGTGAAGATTTAATTCGTGTAAAGTGTATTAATGATAAAACCAAAAAGCACTTTTCTTAGATGAAGATATTTAACATGGACGGGTGAGATATTTTGATAATTTTTTCAATGTAAGTTTTGAAAATACGACCAATTATAGTGATATTAATATTGTTAATAATAATAAAACTTTTTATTTTTACCGTTGATAAAAAGGAAGTTGAAGAGACTTGAAAGAAAATTAAGGGTGAAAAATTAGTAGGTCCTAATGGTATCTCAATAGAGCGTAGAAATATTTATGAGATTTATGAATTTTTTATTTTACTAAACTTTTTAGTATTATTTTAAAAACAAAAAAAAGATGTCTGAAAAGTAGAGAAATAGTAACTTGGTCCTCATTTTTAATAATAAAGGAGAAGCGCAAGAGTGCAAATTATAGATGAATTAAATTAATTTGTCATATATTAAAATTATATGTGAGAATAATTGAACATAAATTAAGACGTGATACAAATATTTCTCGTAATCAGATTGTATTTATGTTGTGCAAATCTACTATATAAGTTATACATTTATTGAGAGGTTGGATGGAGAAGTACAAAGAGAGTAAGGAGGTTCTACACATGATTTTTATTTATTTAGAAAAAGTTTACTATTAGGTTCCAAGAAAAGTTCCTTGGAGAGTTCTAGAAAAGAAGTGTTGATATGACTTATATTTAAGTCATTAAAGATATGTCTACTAGAACTGTTACTTGTGTTTAAACAGAAGGATGATTGACCAAATATTTTCTTATTTCATTTGGAATACATCAAGGATCGACTTTAAGCCATAGTTATTTGCTTTAGTTATGTATGCTCTTTCTGGACATTTACAAGAGGATGTACCTGAGCGTATGCTTTTCATGGATGATATCCTTCTTGTGGATAAGAATAAAGAAAGAGTTCAGAAAAAAAATTTGAAATATGGAAGTCTATTTTAGAGTCTAAAAGCCTTCATTTGAGTAGATCTAAAGCTAAATGCATGCAATGTAATTTTAGAAATAGTAGATCTAGTGACATGGTTGCAACAATGGGTGATCAAATCATTAAAAAGAGTGAATGTTTTAGATATATCGGGTCTATTGTTCAAAGTGATGGTGATATAGATGGGGATGTTATTAGAAGAATTCAAGTTGAATGGTTGAAGTTGACGAATGCATCTGACCTATTGTGTGATAGAACAATACCGCTTAGACCTAAAGGAAAATTTTATAAGAGGGTCGTGAGGCCTGCAATGCTTTGTAGTGCAGAATGTTGGCTTATAAAAGAGAAGCATTAAACTAAGTTAAGTGTTATTGAGATGAGAATACTTAGCCGAATGAGTGGCTTTACACTTAAAAACAAAATGCAAAATGAATATATCCGCGAAATGGATGGTGTAGCTTCAGTGGTAGACAAGATTAGAAAGAATAGTCTTAAATGGTTTGGTCAAATTAAACGTCAACTGTCTGATGATCCGGTCAGATAGTAGATGTTTTAGATTTAACTTTTGTTAAGAAAGGTAGAGGTAGACCTAAAAAGATCTGGGTATGTTGTGTAAAGAATGATTATAATTTATTAGAATTAAATAAAAATGTCACTCAATAGGAGACAATGGAGAAAGACTTGTTGTTGTTGTTATTGATCATTCTAGTGATGGAATTAGAAAAGGTATTTGAATTTGGAAGTTATAGCTAATTTACTTTATATTTATTGTTTTTACTTATTTTCTTCTTCTAAACTTCTTTATTGCTATTGAGTTTTCGTTTGACATTTTATGATGATACTTTGACACTTTTAGATTATTTTTCAGTACTTTTTTGGGAGGAAATCGAGCTTAAATTTGTATACTCTTAATTATTATTGATTTCCAAGGAGTATTGTTCTTAATTAGTTTGTTTTAATATTTTTAATTAATTTATTTGTTTACTTTTGCGGCTCATATCTCATAACGACTTGAGGCTTATGTCTTGCCTTATAAAAAAGTACTACCTCAATATCCATTTACACAATCCTAAATCTTGTATGTAGTAAGTTAGTTTCTAGCATTTGGTAGCATCATCCCATGATTTATGATGAATAAATTAAGTTCTTGATGTTTGAAAATTTGAAAGAAATTGAAGATTCAATGAGTTTTGGAATTTTCTAGTTGATCAATTGGCTGCAAAAATATATTAATATTAGAGAAATTGCTCCATTCAATGGAGGTTTGCAATACATTTCTATCTATTTAAATAGATAAAGTAAAAAAAAAAACTAATAAAAAAATGGTCATCAAGCTAATGCCAGGTTTTCCATTTTGTTTGCTTGTTGGACTTTGTGATTTTACATTATTCTTGGAAAATTTATTTTTTTTAGGATTTATTCTTGATTACTTGATATCCCCAACTCTATCTGTGTTTTATGTTTTTTGGATGCATAATTTTTTAGGATTATTGAATTTAATTTAGAGCAAGAATGTTAATGTGAACTTGATATGGTTTAGTATAATAACTTGGTGAAACCTATAGTTTGAGGAGAAACCATGTAAATTGCTTTTTTCCTCATTATCATCTAAATTTTGATATCATTCTGGTCATGCTATATTTTTCTTTAATTATTGTGACTATATTAGTATCACTATTATCAGTGTCAAAAATGTTTAATACCACTTATAGAACCCGAAGTGCAACATTTATAAGACCTGATTGGACATTGACATACCTGCCAATTACCTGTGATAACATAGATCATTTCACATACTGCCTGGTACCGGAGTTACCCAAGAACAATAAAAAAATTAAATATTATTACTGAAATCAAATAGGAATTTGCAGCCAAACACAATAGAAATTTGAAATTGCAATAAACACAACACCAACTCCCACTACGTTGATTTGGTGTGTTCTTGGTTTTATGATATTGTAAATTGAAAACGTCTAATTTTTAGTCATTGCTACTAGTTGGTGGTTGAATATACACAATGCATGTGAGTTTTGGAAGGATCTATAACCTCATTGCTTGTTATTATTATTTTGAGCTCTTCTTTTTCTTAATTAGACATTATTGGAAAATCTGTACAAACAGTGGTGGTATCATGATTTAAAGGGAAAGAACGAAAGGGCTTATCCCAAACTTAAGAGGTTAAAGACACTGCTTGTGGTGAAGATACATATTTACAATGTTCTACCTCTCCTTTCAAAGGAAGTTTACACCCAGTCATTGTTGCTTGTGTGTATTTCTTGTAGATAGAAACCTCTTTACCCTTAATTTGCCAGCTGCCTCTAAAAAATCATGCCGGCAGATTAATCATGTGAAAGCTTTCTTGAGTTTTATATCATGCATGCAATATCTTTCTATTTATGCTTATTTCACAATTGAAATTGGTGAAGTTAATCAGTTTTTTTTTTTGCTGATTTGGTTTTTTGATTTTAGCCTCTTGTCGATTTCTAACTTTTCAATAAGAAGGATACACATGGCATTTGGCTCCATCACTTGGCGGAGAAGCATCGTTGGAAGGTCTTTGTCTCAATGGTCTACTTGGGAGTCCAATTGAACGGTGCTTGCAACTGATTCCAGTCCACCTGCCATTAATTTCAAACCACTAGGTAGCTTTCATTCAAGATAATCAACATAAAAAGACTTAAACGTAATTAGAAAATAGAGAATTATATGGTTTGCATTGAA